GTGATCCCGTGTCTCTTTGGTTCCCCCGGAGCAGCATTATCATGACGGCCTCCTCCACGCTGCTGGCCCTTTTCCTGATGCCCCTCTGCCTCTGGATCTACAGCCGCCACTGGATCAACACGGCCGTAGTGCAGCTGTTGCCCCTGGGGGCGGTGAGCCTGACGCTGGGCAGCACCCTACTGCCCATCGGCCTGGGGGTGCTCATCCGGTACCGGCACCCCCGCGCCGCCGACCTCCTGGTCAAGGTAGGCACAGGCTCCGGGGGGAGGTGGGCGGCCGCGCTGCGGGGGGATGCCCGGAGGCGGCACCGGTGGACGGGGGTCGGACGGCAGTAACCTTTCTGGTCCCTCCAAACCGATGGTAGCTTCACACAGGCATATTCAACTACTTAGGTGGAATACCAGGACTTACAGTCTTGAAATAAAACGGTGGGGCAGAGATGGAAAGCGAGGGAAAGGGCGGGTTACCCCCTATCACAGTGCACGGAAAGGAGGGCAGCGTGGCACTGCACCCTGGGAGTCATCCTGGACCCTCTACCAGAAGCATTCCCCAGCATCCCACTTTCTCCCCACTTCCGCTGCACCCAGGGCAAGTGAAACCAACCTGCAGGCATGGCCATGCTTCCTGAAAATATGCAACTAAATTAGCTTAATTGTGAAAGGAAGAGTGAAGCACACGCCCTGGCTCTCTTGATTCCCAGCAAGTCATCCCAAAGCACAATGATGGAGGGTGACCTCAGCCCCTTCCTTTCCTGGGATATGATCAAACACCACCAAAATCCCAAGCCAGGAGCAAACCCAGGAAGGGGAACACAACCATGTTTCGCAGTTTAGGCTCTCTTAGCAAGTGTCTACCTCCTATGCTTACCCTTTTAAACTAATAACCCATGTGTTCAATGTCTGTATCTGTTGCCAGATTTCCCTGTGGTCTCTCTTGGTGACTCTAGTGATTCTGTTCATCCTGACTGGGACCATGCTGGGCCCAGATCTGTTGGCACACATTCCTGCATCTGTCTACGCCATTGCAGTGCTGATGCCTCTAGCAGGGTACGCCTTGGGATATGGCTTAGCCACGGTCTTTAAAATGCCCCCACACTGCAGGAGAACAGTGTCTTTGGAAACAGGATGCCAAAACGTCCAGCTCTGCACCGCCATCCTAAAACTCACCTTCCCCCCGGAGCTCATAGGGGGCATGTACATGTTTCCCTTGCTTTATGCGCTTTTTCAGTCGGCAGAAGCGGGACTCTTTGTACTGGTATACAAGATGTATGGAAGAGACAGCTACAAGCAAGATACACTCGGAGAAGAGGAAGACACAGATATTTCCTACAAGAAACTGAAGGAAGAAGAGGTAGCCGATACTTCATATGGCACAGTGACCACAGAGGAGCACAACTCCATTCAGATGGAGCCAACGCAGACAGCGCTTTAGGCGAGATAAAGAGGTGACTCCCTGGGATGTGAATGTGTGTTGTGCTTGCAACTGGGCTGGGGCTGCGCTCACCAAGCTGCCCAGCCTCCATTGTTTCTCCAGCTGCTCCCATTGTACAAGGTGATGTGTGTTTATTACCATCAGTTCTACTTCTTCAAAAAGTAAATGGGGGAGGGGGGGAAGGTAAAAAGTATCGTTGTGATGCAGACCAGTAACTGTAAAACTTTATGTAAGGAGGCTGCTGCCCGGCTGAGTGCAGCAGGAATGGGTAGAAGGAAGGAGACAGCGTTTTACAAAGGCAAAGCCAACTCGGTGCCAGTATGGATGAAGGGAAAAACCACCTCGCGCGTGTATCTCTGTGCCTCCCACCTGCTGTAAAAGCATTGTGCTCGTTGTTCTCACCACAAATACATGGCGAAGCCGAACCAAACCCGTGTTCTCCTCTGTCTAATCCCGCGGGGGTAATTAAAAGCCGCGTGCCCGGTTCACCTGGGGCGCTGTGTGTGGCGTGGGGTGATTGCCCGAAGCCCAGCACCAGGCGGAGACGGGAAGGGGCAGGAAAGCCGGCGCCCGTCGGGGGCGGGGGAAGCCCATCCCCGCCCCGGGGGTATTTAAGGCCGCCCCTGTAGGGAGGGCACTCCGGGTACGGTGCGATGGCGGAGGAGGGGATGGCGAGTTACCTGTACACCGCCTACCACCCCTACTCCTACCGCTACCCGCCGCCCAAGGGCAAAGGGGGAGCGGCGGGCGGCTGGC